GGGAGTGGGGTCCCACATTCCGGCCCGAGCCCGGGGCTGGAGGAGCCACCGGCCCCTCATCGTCCTGCACGGTCAGGGGACCCCCCCACCTCCGCCCGCAGCACCGGGGACGCAGTCTGCATGCAGCGTCTCCGCCAGGGAACACCCGCAACGGGTTCTCCCGGCCTCACCTGACCACTGTCCTGAGTAAGGCCGACCTGGCTTCATTGTGGAACGTGATGACCACGCTGGTAGCCGGCAGGTCCACCCGCCACTGCTTCCGCTGACACCTGAGGGGGAGACAGAGAGAGACCACCCCCTGAACCAGGACCCAGACCGACCGCCGCCAGGCCCCTGGGGAGCCCAGGCAGGTCGACCCCCCAGGATGGACCTGTCTGCAGAGGGCTCCGGCCTATTCGCAGACAGAATGACAAAGGCACAGAAGGAAACAGAAAAACAATCGATGATGGAAAGGTTCCAGCGAAAAGCAACACATCGAGACCATCTCCCTGCCCGGTCGAAGGGAAGCGCGTTTGGACACCGCGGGACCCCGTCTGCTCCCTCGTGCAGACGCCTCGAGAGACGGGCCCCTCACGGCTCGCGGTGTCACCCCCGGGGACGGAGCCGCCTGTGGGCTGCTCCTCTCTCGTCCCGGCTTTGCCATGCCCAGGACCCCCTGCGCCGCTGCACGAGGCTGGGCCTGGAAGCTGGCGCCACCCCGGCCCGCCTCCCAGCAACGCAGGTGACCGTGACGCAGGCCAGGACAGGAATGCGGCGCCCGGGGCGAGGCCTGCGGGCGTCACGGTCACAGCCAGGCGCTTCTCCGGCCTGGTGGCTGGAGACAAAGCTGGCAGGAATCAGCTCACGGCTGCACGACAGAAGGGGCCTGCGAGGCTCCACTGGAAACACGTTGGCACAGAAGCCACTCGACCATGTTGCGAATGAACCAGGAGCCACCAGCCGCGCAGTTAGCTCCCGCTCCGCACGGAGGGGACACTGAACCCAGCAGAGGTGGCGGCTCGCCCAGCGCCGGCTCCGTCAGGATTAAGAAGAGGCGGCAGCGTTTCCACGCTCAGACCCGTCGGCCTAACGAGCCAGTCACGTTCTAGCCTCTCGTCCCCTTTTCTCTGTGGGGGACACTGGTGGCCTCGGGGCCCAGGCGCCCGCACTCTGCTCACTGGACGGGGACTCACCACGGGACAGCAAGCCACAGTTTGTGCGGGCCACGGTTTCCCCTCACTGGACCCTGCTGGCCCAGGCAGCGTCGCCACCGGACCAGCCCCGGGCGGCCATGACGAAGGGCCCGCAGGGGCGGCACCGACCGCCACGCCCTGGGCTCCCCGGACGCCGCCGCAGACAGCACCCCGGTCGACACAGGGGCGGTCCTTTGCCCGTTTTCAACTGAATTATTTTTTAAACTGAATTATTTTTTAAACTGACTTGCGGGAGGTCCCTCGGTATTTCGGACATGACACCCTCGTCGGGTGCATGAGGTACAAGTGTTGCGCCCCACCCCGCGGGCTGCCCGTCCACTCTGCCGGTCATTCCTTTGCCGAGCCCGGCCACCTGTTCCGTACCGGACCCGCGACCCCTCGCCTTCCACCGCAGCTCGTCACCCGACCGGTCGCCGTGCTGTCTGTCCCCTACCTCCGCCCACGCGACGCATGTGCCGTGAAGGCAGAGATTTTTATACTCGATTTTGTTCACCGCTGTTTCCCCAGCGACCAGGGAAAACCCGCACACCGCACACCGCAAGCGCGCAGACGCTCGCCGACGGGCGCGGGAGTCAGTTCAAGAGAAAGCGATGCCGAGTGCAGAAGCTCAAACCCGAGGGCGACCCCGCTACCGAAATCCCTCCTCCTCTGAACGCACCCGGATTCCCAGACACCTGTGGGTGACCTCGCTCAGCCCCGCCACACGGGAGACGCTGCGGCCGACTCGATATAGTTAAGACGGCTGTTGTTTTGAAAGTCTGTACTTTTAACTTTACGGAGGGACACGTGGCCCTGGTTCCCACAGACCCAGCACTAGCTCAGCGCTCCGGGGCGCACGGGAGCTGGCCGGCTACCCCGGCGAGCGGCCGGTGCCGGCGTGAGCACAGGTACCGCGGTTCGACGATGCCGCTTCCAAGCCATGTCGCCCCAGAGCGAGTAAACACGGCCTGAACGCCCGAGAGAGTGGAAACGCATCGATGCCGTTCTCACCGATCCCCAAACACACAAAACCCTCCCATTAAAGAAGACCGTGTTTCTCACAGTTGCAAGGTGTAAACGGACGGCCGTGTTCACACGCGGAGATCCGTCCGTTTGCCAAGAACGCGCGGAGGCCCGTTTCGCTTGCTCTAATTTCTGGGACAGCTGGGGTCACTGTTCCACGGTTATTTCCTTGACCGTTCTGTGGTCAGCAGCCGAGGAGGCCCAGTGACCCCTCCACGCCGCGGAGACGCCTGAGGCCGCGCCTCTGGCCGCAGCGTCGCACGCAGACCGAGAGGGACGGAACGGAACGCGGCTCGGTCTCTGCTCGAGGCCGAGTCCGCGTCTGCACGGCCGTGAGCGCGTGCGGTGACACAGGGCCGTGGCCCCCTCGCTCGTGCACTGGCTCGCGGTTTGCGACGTCCGTTCCCGAAAGCCGAGCCCGACGGCACGTGCGAGACGGGCAGGGCCGGGGCGCGAATGTTCTGCGCACGAGAAGCCCCGCATGCAGCCTTCCTCCGACCTGCGTCTGGGAGGGGCAGAGCCGTAAGCGAGGCTGCCACCCACACTCCGGGGGGGCAGACCACCCGCGCCCCAGGGCGCTCTGCCCCTTGCTCCCTGTCACCCCCCATCAGCCAGTGCCGACGAGACTTTTGTGGCTGGGGTCCCAGGACCCCAGCACAGCGTCTGAGTCACAACGGCACGTGAGCCACGCTCCGCAACGTGGCGGGTGAGTGACTGAAGTCACCGGGGAGCAGGAAGCCCCACCGAGCACCCAGGAACCCTGCTGCTCTACTAACATACCCCGATTTTTAGCCCCCCGAAATAAGACCGAGGCTCCAGGGAGCCCGGTGTGACCCGCGTCCCGAGGACTCTCACGGCAAGCTGTGTGCGGGGCCAGGTCGCCGTCCCCAACAGCCACAGAACGTCTGGATGCCGGAGCTGAGCCTGATGGCCCGGCGGCTCCACCCCCCAGGTCCCGCGTCCCGCGAGGATCAGGCCTCGGACAAGGCCAGTGCGGGGTCACCGCCCCTCCTGCCCCATCTGCTCGATGGACCGTCCACCCTGGCGGGCTCTGTCCTCCGCATCCCGTCCCTAACGCTCCCAGCTAAGCTGTCCCGACGAGCGAGGATGCAGATTTCCCTCCTTCCCGTGAAGCTGTGAACAACGGAAAATTACGCTTCTCTGTGAGCGGCCGTCAGTGAGGGCGATCGGTGAACGCGCTGTCCGTCACACGGCCTCCACTCACCGGTCCCCGTTCTCCGGGGACCCGTGGGGCGTCTGAAAGATCAGAACCCGGTCCCAAAGGGCCCCCTGCTTCCCGGGAGCGAGGCCCCGCCACCTTCCGCGTTTTCCCGGGGCCTGGGGCAGAGGGCAGCCCGGCGAGGCCAGCGCGGCACTCACTGGTCGTGCCTGGTGTCCGGCACAGCTCTGTCCATCCGCAGCTTGTCGCTTTCCACCTGGTTGAACTTGTTGCGGGCGTAGGGGTCCTGCCCCGCGCGGACCATCGTCCCCGCGATGTAAGCATCCTGGTCGAAGTCCCGCCAGCGCACTTTCCCTGGAAGGAACAGACAGAAGGGTGTGAGCCGGGGGCACGAGACTGGGGCGCACACGTCACAGCGATGCGTCACCTCGACCGCGAGGCCGGGGACGCCGCCTGCGGCAAGTTCAGCGAACGCCCGGCCGAGAACAGCCACACGAGCATCATGGGGCTGCAGAGTGGAAAAGGGACGCGGGCCGTCTGTGCCTGGAAGCGACGCGTGCACCGGCGTCTGTCCAGCGAGCGGATGCTCTGCCGACCGAGGTACCCGTGAGCCTGGTACCACTTACACGTCACGCGAAAGGAGACCGTTTCCACTTGCCCCGCATCCTCAGGGGTTACGTAAGACACACCGAGCAGCATCTCAGACGCGGTGAGGGAGACAACGCTCAGGTGACACGCGAGGCTCCACCGTGTAACCCCCAGTAACACAAAAATAAACGTTTACACAGAAAACGACACCCCCAGAGAACAGGAAATCGAAAAGCCCCTCCGTGAGACCTGCCCGGAGGTCCTTACAGCTCATTCACCTCTCCTCCCACAAGGGCATGAAACCACGCCTGGCACTCACGCGGCCCGGCACACACGCAACCCGGCACACACGCAGCTCGGCACACACGCGGCCCGGCACGCACGCAGCCTGGCACGCACGCAGTCTGGGACACACACAGCCCGGCACACACGCAGCCCAGCGCACATACAGTCTGGCACACAGCCTGGCACGCACGCAGCCCGGCACACAGACAGTCTGGCACACAGTCTGGCACGCACGCAGCCTGGCACACACTCATCAGAGCACACCCATGGCCTCTTTCACAGGGAATGGAGCCGAGGGGCCTGGCCCGTCCACGCACACATCAGCCCTGACTCAGTGGAGCGGGCCAGCTGCCGCTGCTCTATGACGCCAAGCAGAGTTCTCCAAGTGTGCGAACAGGGCGCGTGCACTGGGGCCTGGGGCGGGCGCTGTGCTGGTGGCAGTCCGGGCCCGAGAGGACCGTGCTGAGAGCCCGGATGAGCCAGGGGAACGAGCCACGCTGTCCAGGCCGAGAGAAAGCGGGAGGAAAGATGGACTCGAGGCTGAGGGGGCGTCAGCACTTGGTGTCTGTCCGCTGGGTTCACTCCGTCCGCCACCTGCCACCCGCGTGATCCCGGGGGAGTTAGTCATGCTCTGAAATATCGTGCCGGGGAGGGGAGGGGAAGGGTCTTCCATGGGGTCTAACGGCCTGGGAGCCAGTTCTGTAGCCGCAGCAAACTAAACCAAACCAAACTCAGAGACAAGGAAGACTAACAGCAGCCCTGTCCCCCTGACACTCGTCCATTGCCAAGCGGCCTTCCGCGCCGCGAAGAGGGTGCTGTCCCACACGCGGTCCACAGCGGCTGCAGGGAGGCTGCAGGCAGCACAGGTGACCAGTGGGGTCAGGGCACGTGCCAGCTCCCACAGGGGGACCCACGTGCCACTCAGTGTCCAGGACAGTGTCCAGGAGGAAGCTCATCTGGGCCCCCAACAGCCGATTGCAAACGCTCTTTGGGAGAAACGCTTTTAGACTCAGGACTGCTTACATTTGGATGACTTGTGCGGTTAAATTTAATTTAAAATAATGCACTTCCAAACAATGCCATCTCTTTCTTAATATTTTTGTGTTTACTAAATCTCATGTTTAAAGAAATTATGATGTAAAAAGCTATGAAAATGAACCTTCAAAGGGTCAACACCACGAGACACACGGCAACCAGGCGCCCGGGGACCCACGCGGTGCCTGGTGCCAGGGGCCTGGGGACTGTCACCTTGGGGTGCCGGTGTTCTAGGGGAGCCACGGCGCCTGTGCCGTGCAGGTCCCACGGGGCTGGGCGGCCGGAGACCCAAGACCCCATGCCGGCCTCGCCGCCGGGCTGCAGGTCTGCAGCCAGGGTCCCCTCCCGGGGTCTCCCCACCAGAGAGGACACGTAACAGACTTGTCAACCGAGCAGCCTCGCCCGGGAAAGCAGCCAGGGAGCAAACAATACATTTAAATCAAAGGACAAAGCTCTCAGGTTGATTTCAGCCTCCTGGTTAATCCCCAATTGAATGCAATTTCACTGAGCTTAAAAGAAAGGTTTCCTAACATTCCCCCTCTGAAAGGTCACAGGCTGCACGTGGAAGAGAAGGCCAGGGCCACAAACAAGAACATCTATTTAAGTGACAAAGACACGGCGACAACACTTTATTATTTGTCACTGGTTACCTGGCAAGAAGGGAAATTTGTTCACCTGTGAGAAACCGTCTCTTGAAATAGGGGCTGCGACACAATTTATTTTTAAGGATGGAAAAAACAGGAAATTCAAAAAAAGCTATTTAACAGAAAACAGAAAATAAAATCAGATGCTATACTCTCGATGTATTTAAAATGGACATGTCACCGTCACTAAAAAGGCCACAGGACACATGTGCGGCCAGGAAAAGGTGTTTCTGTCGCCCCGAGAAGCGTGGCGAGCACAGTGTGGCACAGTGTCCGTGGGGGGTGACGTGACGGTCAGGACTCCGCTCGCGCCGCCCGGTCGGACGGCAGCAAGGTGGGTTGCAGTCGGGGAGGGGACAGGACGAGGAAGCAGGTGGACAGAAGGCTGGACAGCAGGACAGCCGGACAGGGACCTCAGAGCTGGGTAGGTGTGTCTGGAGAAGGACACAGAACTGCAGATGTCCCCGATGGTGCCAGCCGCACGTGACCGGGGGCAGGGCTGAGCCCCGGGCCCCAGCCCCGGCTCCCAGGCCATGTCCCCGTCCTCGAGCCCGGGGCTCTCCCTGCCGGGACCTGGGAGGGGCGTGGGGGGCCCCTGACGTCTGGGGCTCCAGCATCTCACATCACCCCGACTCCCGGATAAAATGCATAGAAGAAAACATAGGAACTAAACTCAAGGACCTTGGACTTAAAGAGGATTTTATGAATTTGACCTCAAAGCAAGAGAAGTAAAAGCTAAAATAAATGAATGGGACTACATCAAACTAAAAAGCTTCTGCTCTGCAG